CCACCATAGTGGAAGTTTCATCCTCTTCTGCCCCCATCCCATATCTGTTGTTATATTTGATGAACATAGTAACTCTGTGATAGTTTCATAGTGCTTTCTGGTCTTTTTCAGTTGCCTCATCACTACAATCAAACGTTCCCATTTCCAGTGCCTGAATCCTGTGTCTCTCAGAAAAGATTTTATCAGAATGGTAAGTTTATAATCCAGTTTGCCTTTTTCACAGCACTTACATTCTTTCATAGACTTGCAGAATGTACCAAATCTGACATAAGAATGAATATGCAAAACAAAAAAATGCTATATTTTTAACATATCTGTTTTCTAGTTTGGACCTGTAAATTTAGAAATGTCAAACATTTTTTAAATTAGTATATTAGGAAAAAAGCTCTTAATCTTTCAGTAGGAACAAGTCTGAAAAAGTTTAGTCTCAGTGAGCAGTGTTTTGAAAAATGTGATTCAAATGAATTGAAAAAAAAACAAACCTGTTTAGTGGGGTGGGACTTCTGTTATATATGGTGGATGTTTTGCTTTCAGTCTTAGCAGCAACCACTTGGGGATGCTTTTTGATTTTAGCCAATGGAAATTGTAGCATAGTATGTAGCAGAACGTAAGTATTTTTAATGTCAACACTGAGCATGAAGTAGTATAGTTTCTAAAAGCCCGGTGGCAATAGGGCCTAGAGATACGCAGTAAGTTTTTTTGATTTTCATTCCAGGCAGTGAAAAATAGTTCCCTGTCTCAGTCTTTCCCTGAGCAGATCTCCATCCTCTGTTTTCCAAGTGCTCTGTGTGCTTAGGTCTCCTTGATCTCACTTTCTGAGTGTGTCTGGTGAGAAGGCAAGACATGGGAGTATCTTATGCAGTTTTTGCTTTATAACATATTCCCTATGCTGTAAAGGTCATGTTGTAGAACTAGCAGACATACAAATAAAAACTCTCACAGCAATGAATTTTAGGTTTTTTTATACTATTACTTATTTTTATAATTTGGTTACATAGATTCTTTTCTCTAACTTTACAAGACAAGTATAACAGATAATACCTTCATTCAGGTATTTGTGAAATCACATATACTGATTCCTAACCTGTGCTACTGTTTTGTTTAAGAGTGTACTCAGAGACTATTGGGATAACTTGCAAAATCAAAGAGGCATTAACTGAACTGGCTCTTTGAAATCAGGAAAAAAACCACAGTTTAACATCTTAAACAAAAGAAATGCAATATGTAAGTTTTTACATGAAGGATAGGCATCTGAAATATTATCTAGCCTTATACAGTTTTCCAAATTTTAATAAAAAGTTTGTCTGCAATTTCTAAGAGAGCTATTCTTTAAATGTATATGCAGGAGAGTCTGAGTTACTGTTACATTAAACTTTGTATTTTATGTATAATAACTAAAAACACTGTTACTTTGTGAAATAAGGAAAATAGCGGGCAGGCAGAGTGGTAGGAAAGGTATTTCTTCTTGTGGTATTAGTTTCATCTGAATAGTTTTGAAAATTCCATTTCCAGACTCTTTCTTTCAAAAATTGTTTATTTTTATAAGTTATACAATATGAAATATTTTGTAAATTATTTTAAAAAAGAGAAAATGCTAGGAATGGTGGACATCTTTATTCTGGAATTTCATATTGTTAGTGGTGCCCACACCTTTTCTTTTAATACAGATCCTGGTTGAGTTATCTTTGGAGTTCCCAGACTGGAGTCCTGACTGAAGGATATACAGAAATTAACTATCCCTGTATAAAATCACAGCTTTGTTGAAGGAATAATGGAAAAACAATGAAAAACGATTCAAATTCAATGACCTGGATTTAGCTGCATCCCACTGAGATTTTAAATTGCAAACTGTTTTATTAGCTAATAATTGTATAGATTATTCATTGGATGAATCTACTACTCATATGTCACGGCTATGACTGTAACCTAGACATACTCACAAAAGTTAATTGGCTGCTGTTAGTCATTTTTCATTGTTAAATTGTGTTGTGATTTGGTGTGTACTTCTAAACTTAGATTTATATACTGCAGAAAATGGAGGAATATGAAGCTATTCAAAGAATGTTAAGAGTTATACATGTCTACAGTAAACATGAGTTACAGTTGTAGACCATCTTAAATGAGGGAAGAAAACTTCGAGTCCTTATGCTGAATCCAGCTACAAACCTCCTTTTCCCCCAAACCCTGATCCTTCAACATTATTGCCAGATACCTCTCTCTGATTTACTTGCACCTTGTCCTCAAGGAGAAAAAATGTAGTGATCCTAAGGCCGTGCAGCAACTTTGGTAATGACTCCCCATGGGAAGTCCACTCCCTGACTGATATTATAATCTATAATATTATAAAATATTTCATACTTTCTGTACAAAGTTTGTTGAAGTTTCACATTTTTACTCTAATTTTTACTTCACCTATGGTAACCTACCTATTCCCTTGATACTAATAATAGTTCAACTAGTTTGAACTATTCAGTTGGCTCCAACTGAGTTTCCCTTGAAATGCAAATAGCTTTAGAGAGATAATTTTTGATGGAACTCTGATA